TAGCAAGATCCTACCTTAAAAACAAACAAACCAAAAAAGAGTTGTAAATAGAGGTAGCTCAGTGCAAAGGCCCTGGGTGCAATCCTCAGTAGTGCAAAATAAATAAAATAAAATAATTAAAAATAAGCCCGTAAACTCAGCATTCTGGGAGGATGAGGCAGACAGATTCCAAATTTGAGTCCAGATCTGGCAATTTAGTGATTTGGCAAGACCCTTTCCCAAATTTTTAAAAAGTTAAAACAACTGAGGCCAGGTGCAATGGCACCCCCTGGAGACCCAGGCGGAAGGTACCCACACGTTAAGGCCATCCAGGGCTACATAGTGAGACCCTGACTCAAAAGGGGGTAGGGGTGGGGATGTAATTCAGTGCAAAGGCCCTGGGTTCACTCCCCAGTACCAAAAGAGAGGGTAAAATTTCTCCCTTCTACATCATTCCTTGCCCCTCTCACTGCGCATGCCCTGCCCCAGGGCTGGTCACATGATTGCATTTTGGGAGTCCTTCCAGGGCTGGGTTAAAGGCAAACCCAGCATCACCTGTACTCCCAGCACTTGGGAGGCTGAGGCAGGAGGACAGACATGAATTCGAGGCCAGCCTAGGCTACATAGTGAGTTCAAGTCCAGCCTGGGCTACATAGTGAGACTGTCTCTAAATCAGTCAATGAAAAGAAAAGGCAAACTCATGGTCAGGCGTGGTGGCACACACCTGTGATCCCAGCATTTGGGAGGCTGAGACAGAAAGATCTCCACAGAGTTCGAGGCCAGCCTAGGGTACAGAGTGAGTTCAAGTTCAGTCAGAACTACATAGCAAGACTTTGTCTTAAAAAACAAAACAAAACAAAGAATAAATCTACTACCATGTTATCTTTTCCTCTCTTTGGCACAAATGGCAACATATTACCATGAGGATTTATTTATTTTTTTCATTTAATCATAGCTCTAGTTCTCTCTCTTTTTTTTTTTTTGGTACCAGGGAAGGAACTCAGCACCTTGCACTTGTGAGGCAGGTGGTGGCACCACTGAGCTAAATCCCCAGCCTGTAATTTACATTTTTGTTTTGTTTTTTGGGGGGACAGGTCTCACGATGCAGTTCAGGCTGGCCTTGAACTCACTATGTGGCCCAGGCTGGCCTCAAATTCATGGTTATCCTCCTGCCTCAGCCTCCTGAGTGCTGGGATGACAGGTGTGGACCACTGTGCCTTGCCTGCCGTCTAGTCATTTACTTATTCACAATGCTGGGGAATGAACTCGGGCCCTTTGCAACAAGCTACAGCCCCAGCCCCATTTTTTTTAGACAGGGTCTCACTGTTGCCCACACTGGGCTGGAATTTGTGGTCCTCGCAGCTGGGAGATGGGCAGGTGCTATTCTGTTCTTCCAGGCCGAGTGGTCCACAGCCTCTGCTGCTCCGCGCCTGGAGGAGTGGCAGGGATTTCCAGTCTCCACTGAGTTCCAGGAATTCCCAGGTCAGAGGCCAAGCAGCACAGCTGTGCAGGAATCTGCAGACTCAGCTCCAGAAGGGAATTTCTGAGGCACAGATGTGCACTTCCTCACCCTCAGCGGAACGGTCTGATGGATGCACTCCTGAAGGCTGAGGCAGGAGGATTGCAAGTTGGAGCCCAGCCTAGACAATTTATCGACTTAGTGAGGACTTGTCTTAAATAAAAGTTTAAGAAGGGCTACAGTTGTGGCTCAGGGTCAAAGCCCAGCTTCGATCTCCAGAACCCCATCCCCCCACAACACACAGAATGGAGGGAACACAGCAGGGCAGTGTCTGCCAACCTTTCTTGCACCAGAGCTCAACTTTTCATCAGCATCAAAGACACTGACTTCTAGCTGGGCGTGGTGGCGCACGCCTGTAACCTCAGCACTCGGGAAGCTGAGGCAGGAGGATCACTGTGAGTTGAAGACCAGCCTAGGCTACACAGTGAGTTCCAGGTCAGTCTCAACTACATAGTGAGGGCTGGGGATTTAGCTCAGCGGTTCAGTGGCCTGCCTTGCAAGTGCAAGGACCCGAGTTCAATCCCCGGTACCAAAAAAAAACTAAAACAAAACAAATCAACTACATAGTGAGACATTGTCTCAAAAATAAATAAATAAATAAATTAATTAATTAATTTAAAAAAGACACCGACTTTTACTCGGTGTGGTGCCAGCACACACCTGTAATCCCATCACTCAGGATGCTGAGGCAGGAGGATAGCTGGGAGTTGGAGACCAGCCTGGGCTACAGAGTAAGTTCCACGGCAGTTTCAACTACATAGTGAGACCCTGTCTCAAAAAATTAAAAAATAAAATAAAATAAAGACACTGACTTTTGCCAAAGGTTAATTTTGTTAAAGGCATTATGAACAAGGAAATAAGAAAGGAAAATCCCTGTAGTATTTCTGAGGCAATAAACTCTGGCTGTTAGGCTGAAAGTGGCTGTCAGCATCTTCTGGTCAGTAAACAAGATTCATTTAAAAGTGTGTCAAGCTGGGCATGGTTGTGCTCACCTGTAACACCAAGGACTGAGGAGGCTAAGGCAGGAGGGTCCCATGAGTTCCAGACCAGCATGAGCTTCATAGTGAATCCAAGGCCAGCCAGAACTACACAGGAAGACCCTGTCTCAAAAATCCAAACCAGGCCGGGGATTTAGCTCAGTGGTTCCGGTGCCTGCCTCGCAAATACAAGGACTTGAGTTCGATCCCCGGTACCAAACAAACAAATAAACAAACAAAAAAACCACTTGGCAGGCTGAGGCAGGGAGATCACAGCAAATTCAAGGTTAGCCTGGGCTACATAGCGAGATCTTGTCTCTAAAAAGAAAAAACGTGGGCTGGGAATTTAGCTCAATGGTTCTGCTGCCTGCTTCACAAACGCAAGGTCCAGAGTTTGATCCCCATACCAAGAAAAGAAAAAAAGTTTAATTAGTTGTCAACCTTTTTTTTCTGTAGTAGTAGGTATTGAACTCAAAGCCTTTCCACTGAGCTACATCCTTAGTCCTTTTTAAACTTTTTAACTTTGAGACAGAGTCTTGATAAGTTGCTAAATTCCCTAGACTGGGCTCAAATCCTCCTGTCTCAGCCTCCCAAAGTGCTGGGATCCCAGGTGTGTGCCACCATGCTTGGCCCATTACCAACTTTCAAAAATCCAGGGATTTCACACGAAAATCTGAATCTCAGCTGGGTATGGTGGCCCCATGCCTACTGTCTCAGCTACTAAGGAGGCTGGGTTGCTTGATCCCGGAGTTCGAGGTCAGACTGGTCAATACAAATGAGACTTCCCCATCTCAAAATAAAAATTCTATCTTGATTATTTTGATCTCATTTCCCCTTCTACTTGCCTGAGCCTTATCTCTTTGTGTTTTTTTGTTTTGTTTTTTGTTTTTGGTACCGGGGATTGAACTCTGGTCCTTGCACTTATAAGGCAGGCAGAGGAACAACTGAGCTAAATTCCCAGCCCTGTACTTTTGTTTTCTGAGATAGGGTCTCGCTGTGTAATTCAGACTGGCCTGGAACTCATAGTGATCCTCCTGCCTCAGCCTCCCAAGTGCTGGGATTACAGGTGTGCTATGTGCACACTTCACACAAATGAAATCAACCTTTACTATTTTGTGTCTCATGCCTTCCAGTGACGTTACATTTGTGGCCCTCATTCATAGATCTGTATAAGCCATAGTTCATTTCATTTTTTGTTTTTGTTTTTTCTTTCCTTTTTTTTTTTTTTTTTTTTTTTTTTTTTTTTTTCCTTTTTTTTTTTTTTTTTTTTTTTTTGAGACAGGGTCTCACTATGTAGTTGAGACTGACCTGGAATTTATTATGTAGCCCAGGCTGGTCTTGAACTCACAGCGATCCTCCTGCCTCAGCCTCCTGAGTGCTGGGATTACAGGTGTGTGCCACCACACCTAGCTAAATCTTTTTTTTTTTTTTTTTTTTTGGTACTAGGGATCAAACTCGGGTCCTTGTGCTTTTGAGGCAGTGACTGGAACCACTGAGCTAAATCCCTGGCCATTGTTCATTTATTTTGGTTGCTTTATAACATTTCTTTGTACACAATGCATTCATTCTATTGCCAACAGACATTTGTGTTGTTTCTGAATCGGGCCATTTCTTATCTTGAGCCACTGAGCTAAAACCCTGGCCCTCAAAATTAAAAATTAAAAAACATGAAAAACAGGGCCAGGGATTTAGCTCAGTGGTTCTACTGCTCGCCTCGCCAGCTCAAGGACCCAAGTTCGATCCCAGGTACCAAAAAAAAATAAAGAAAGAAAGAAAAAGAAAAACAGCTCCATGCGCTCAAATGTCCTGGTTCAATCCCCAGTGAAGCCAGAAACAAACCAAGAAAAGCTTCCAGGGTTGCTCCTGCGGCAGGAGCCTGTACATCCCTGAGCCGCCCAGGCCTGGGAACTGAACTGGGGACTCACAAGCGCTGAGCCACAACCCCGCGCTGAACAACACCCAGCCTTTTACTCAATGTCACTGCCTGATAGGCTGTGGGGATCACCGGGCTTGGGACGCCCAGACCATGCGCATCTAGAGCTGATGCTCAGTGGCTGAACGGGTGTGAGGCTCTGGGGTTCAGTCCTCCGCAGGGTCCCCCAAAAGTTCTTTAAACTCACAATATCTATCTTTTTGTTTTGTTTGAGTGTCTCACTAGTATTCCGGCCGGCCTCCAACTGGCAGTGATCCTCCCGCCTCAGCCTCCCAAGTGCTATGAGGCGTGTGCTCACCACACCAGTTACTTCGACCGCTTTGTGTAACAGGTCGAGAATGAGTGGAGATTGGGATGAGGTCGGCGTGGTGAGGACGGCTGGAGAAGGTTCCGGCTGAGGGGAGGTAAGGGCACAGCTACTCCGGAGACCAAAGGAACAACGACAGAAAACACAAAAACGAAACAGTGAGCTCTCGTGGGGCGGGATAGGCCAGGGAGGTCAAAGGGACAGGAACTGAGGACAGGACGCGGGTTCAAACGCTCAGAGAGGCTCCCGCGTCGCCAAGGTGCGCCCTCCCACGGGGCCCGGGCGCAGGGTGTGTCCCGCCTCTGTGGTGCAAATGTGCAAATGGCCCCTCCAGGCAGGGCGGCTGCCGAGCCGATTTAAACCCCCGGCACCTGGGCCGGCCTCTGTTCCGGAGCCGCTTCCCGTGGCCGGAGAGGACCCTGGGCTGGGGCTGGGGCTGGGACTTCCCTCGTGTCATGGCCCCCAAGCGCCAGTCTCCGCTCACTGCTCCGACCAAGAAGCCCCGACAGTCTCCGGCCCCCAAGTCCGAGGCAGCGTCCGCCTCGCCCGCCCTGCCCAAGGGAGGTGAGTACTTGCTCTACATGTTCCTGGGGCTGTAAGGATTCGAAAGGATCGACTTTGTGATTTCTTTTTCCTCCGATCTGTCTGGAGACGTGACCCAAACGCCCGAGTGGTTTGGACGCTGCGCTGTGCTGGGTGGACTGGGACGGTGGGAAGAATGACCTAGAAAGTCGGGGTCACCCCAGCTCCCTCGTTTCTTTTGTTTTGCTTTTTGAGACAGGGTCTCACTATGTAGCCCAGACTGGTCTCGAACTCAAGGCGCTCCTCCTGGCTCAGCCTCCCCAGCGCTGGGATTACGGGCGTGCGCCACCACGGCCATCTTTGGGGCTCTCAGTCTTGGCCAGTAGTACCACCGTGCAGTCTGAGGCCTCCCCGTCACCCCTCTACGCCCTGCCGGCTTCCCGAGCCTCTGGAGGGTCTGGGTCTCCCACCCGCCCACCTCCCCGTTTCTTGGTGCCGCTGCCGCGGGCCCACGACTCCGGCCTGAACCACAACCACCTCCTCCTCTCTGCTCCAGGCCTCTTCCTCCAGCCTGAGCAGGGCCGGTCACGTGACCGACTGCAGGCTTCAATTCTCCCGGCCTCCCCGTCGGCGTCCAGGTAGACGGAGACTTCCGGCTCTGTCCACCCTCTCCCCGCGCGCCTCGGCGGGCTCCGGCTCCGACAGCTCCAGGATCTCCCCTTCCTCCACCAGGGGGCTCCCTCCTGCTAGGGGCGGAGAGTGGGGGAGATGTCTTTCAGTGCTAGGTATTGAATCAGGGCCTTCACTTTGAGCTACATTCCCAGCTCTTTTTAGTCTTCCCCCGCCCTCCGGTACTAGGGATCGAACTCAGGACCTTGCGCTTGTAAGGCAGGCACGGGTTCCATTGAGTTAAATCCCCACCCACCCCTTTTTTGAGGGAGTCTATGTAACCCAGGTTGGCCACAAATTCTCAGTGATCCTACTGCCTCAGCCTCTTGAATGCTGGGATTACAGGCGTAAAGCACCATGCCCATCCCTTTTTAGTCTATTGTTTGATTTTATTTTTATTTTTTGTCCAACTGGGAATTGAACCCAGAGACTTCACACTGAGCTACATCCTTAGCACTCTTTATTTATTTATTTATTTTTTTGAGACAGGGTCTCACTATGTAGTTGAGACTGACCTGGAACTCACTGTGTAGCCCAGGCTGGTCTCTCACAGCAATCCTCCTGCCTCACTCAGCCTCCTGAGTGCTGGGATTACAGGCATGCACCACCACGCCCAGGCCAGCACTCTTAATTTTTAATTTTAGACAAGGTCTCTATCTAAGTTGCCCAACCTGGCCTCAAACTTATGATCCTACTACCTCAGCTTTCAGAGAAGTAGAAAGTGTACCTCACTACATCTGGGTGTAAAGTCTTTGTTTTTTCAGACAGGGTCTCACTATGTTGTTCAGGCTGGCCCAGCATGGTTTCAAACTCATGGTGATCTTCCTGCCTCAGCCTCCTGAGTGCTAAGATTTTAGGCATGCTCTAGCATGCTGAGCTTGCAAAAGGCACTTTTGCAGACCTTGTCTTGTCTTCTGAGATTCCGCCCCTTCACAGAGGAGCCCCCTCCTCCCTGGCAGCAGAGTTGCCCTGTCCTGGCCCTTGATGGCACTTTCCTGTCTGGCCCTGCTCCCTGTGACACCAGGTGGTTCAGTTTGGATGGAGACACCTACCTGGCTGTCCTGGCAGGTCCCCTGACGGTGAGGATTCGGCTTGACCTCCTCAGGTTGGACTGGGCTAGGTACAACTCAGGGCAGCCAGCAACCAAGGAAGGAGCACCGGCTAGGAGTCCTCCCTGGGATTCTGATCCTTTGCTTTTCCACATGGGAAGCAGAGGTGCCTCCTGTGCACTGGTGGCTGCCAGGGCACCACCAGGATGTGGGACCCACGTGCTCCTTTTTCCTCTCGTAAAATGGGTCAGTGGTTCTTATTTCTCACACTCGCTGAGGTTTGACCCCCAAGTAAAAGCACTAGGACAGCGACGGGCAGATTCTGAGTCCTTTGGATTAGTCAGTGAATTCCTTTTCACCAGAGCCACGGAAAGCACCCTCCTGACTCCATCTGATTGGCTTCCTGGGAGAAATAACCAGAGCAGAAGGGACACAGGGTGCAGCCACAAGCTCTTGGAGTTCCTCACTGAGTTCTCCATCATTAGGATGGCAGCAGAGGGTGGGTCCCATTTTACAGATCACAAAAAGGCTCACAGAGGCGTGGGGGCAGCATTCAAGGCTGCCAGAGCTCGGATGGTCTAGCCTGCATCTCAGAACCTGGTTTGCTGGATGTGGGGTTTTCTCTTCAAGGAAGACAGGAAGTGGGAGAGGGACTGAGTTAGAAGCCCAGGAGAGGAGCTGCTGGGCGGGACTGGGGTGGAGCCCCTCCCCTGTTAACTGAAACTCCTGCCCTTCTGCTTTCTTTTTCTCTTCCACTTCCAGTGCATTGCTGGGAAGGAAGTGCTGTGTGGGGAGGGTCAGGAAGAGGAGCTGGGGGGGGTCATGAGCCGCCCCCAACCCCAAGTATCCGGGTCCTGGCTCCCTGTGAATGCTCGGGAAGCAGGTGGACCAAGCTTCTGGTACCACGCTGTGAGCTGGGCTTTGTGGATGGACAGAGCAGCAGTGATTTTTAGACTCTCAGCCCAGTAGTGGCCTATGAAGTGATCTGGTGGGCAGTTACTTACATATTTTTTTTTTTTTTAAGAAAATTAAGAGTCACAGCTCCCTTAGGTGATTGTTTTATGTGTGTACCGGGTCGCATGTCAAATGTATGCTGTATATGTTTGGGGTTTTTATTGTTTTTTGAGACAAGTTCTCACTACATACTTGAGATTGACCTGGAACTCACCGTGTAGTCCAGGCTAGTCTTGAACTCAGAGCGATCCTCCTGCCTCAGCCTCTCAGAGTGCTGGGATTACAGGCATGCACCACCACACCTGGCTATGTATGCCATATATATATTTCTGTTCTGGTTTTTTGAGACAAGGTCCTGCTATGTAGCCTAGGCTGTCCTTGAACTAACAGCCATCCTCCCGCCTCAGCCTCTTGAGTGCTGCCTGGGTTACAGGCATGCATCACCAAGCCCTGCTAAACATATAGCTTACTGTTTTGAGTCACGTTTTTATAAAAATAAAAAAAAGGGGGGGCAGTGTGGCTCAGCGGTAGAGAGCTTGCTGAGCATGCCAGGAGCACCTGGGTTCAATCCCTAGCACTGCAAAGTAAATAATACATATAAAAATTGAAGTTGGGTGTGGTGGCTCTTGGGAGGCTGAGGCAGGAGGATCGCTAGGTTGAGGCCAGCCTGGGCTATGTAGTGAGTTCAAGGTCAGCCTGAACTATACAGTGAGACCCTATCTCAAAAACAAATACATACTTTTGGGCAACCACTTTGTAAATCTGCTTAACTCCTTTAGAATCTTGGTTCAGCTACTTGTTGAAAAGTTGTTTGGGGGTAGAAGTGAGATGAGAAACATCAAAGCTCACCTGCTATTTTACGAGGATTAAGTGAGGCATTGTGTGCGGTTATCACAGCCTGTAGCCCCTGCAGCCCGGTGTGTGATCGATCAGTAGTGTGGCAGGGCAGAGGCTGTGCAGAGCTGGTCGTGGAATTGGCCACTCAGGTGGGTGACGTCACAACTAGCCCGGCGAAAGTGTTTCCATCAATGAAAGTCACAAATGCTACACGTCAGGTTTATTTTCGCTTTTTTCCCCCAGAGCTGACTGTCAAACATTTACCGATGGTGCTAATAATTCTCTAAAAGAGCCTGTCCAGTTGGCACAGATAAGAACGGGGTTGCACGCAACTGAGAATCAGGATGAGAGGGCAGGATTAGATGAATTTCTGGGCTTGGAGAGCTCTAAGAAGACCTCTGTTCTCTAACCATGAACTGTGGACCACTGAACACGTATGGATCACCGACGGAGCTCTGCCTTGAGCAGTGAAGGCGCTGCTCCAGCTTTCAGCGCCCGTAGGAAAACCTGAGCACCGGCAGGCTAATAATCCAGCCCCAAGTTCTGGTTACAAACGCCCCGGGGGAGATGGAGGCCTCTGGTCGGAGCGCGGGGCCCTGGAGGAGAGGGGCCTGGCGGGTCTCCATTTCCTGGAAAGCATAATCTGAGCAGATGCCCTGGCCCTACCCGGCGGTTCCGGGCTCGGCCTCCGAAACTGTCCTCGTGGTCGCCAATTCCCCGGGCTCCGAAGCTAACGCCACGTGCG